TGGATTTAAATTCTTGTCCACCATATAATTTTGTGCTTGTGGTTCTTACACACAAATATCAGGTGGGAGCAAAGTGAGGGAAATGAGAAGGAGTTACTAGGGTTTTGCTACTTAATATGAGTACGTACATTCAAATTCTGAAAAGGGCAATGTATTTAAATGTGTAGCATATATCAAAATTAAAGGGAAATATGCATAATGAAGGATAGAATTTGTTTCTAATTGTACAAATTATATAAAAACCTGACACACAATTCTGCATAATTTAAAGAGTTGATGAGTAAAATATCCATTAGAGTAACTTATCTAATGGTGTGGAATTATTACCTTAGGTGTGTTTTAGTAAGTATAATTTTACATCATCCAAATGAGTATCTTTTTGTGCTTTCTATAATCTTCAGTATTAAAACCACACTGAATATTACCTAATATTTCTTTCCATTCTTGTCTTCTCTGTATTTCATGTCCTTTGACAGTCAACAACTATGATTAAAGTGAAGTTAGAGATTTGTTAGACAAGAGAACTCTTCAGGTTACAATTGTTATCTGTCCTTATTTAAAGCTCTATTACTTACCTGTTATTGATGTGGAAGTTCTGGGAAGGGAAGAGCTGGCATGGTCCCTTTAAATGATATGGAAGAGGGGAAGGGAAATGCTGGATAGTAGAAGGCATGGTCCCTGGCAAGGACCCTACCCACAGGGACCTAGGTAAAGACAGATACTCCTGCCTTTGTGCTCAAATGTTGCATTTCCCAAGACCACCCTAACCTGCCACACTCCATCCTGTGCCTATAAAACCCCTGTGAGACCCTAGCAGGCAGACACACAAGCAGTGGGATGCTGTGAGGAACACATTTGCAGAAGAAGATATAAGTAGTCGGTTATGGAGAGCACTCCAATGGGCACTGATTGGTGGAGTGACCCAGAATCTGGCAGGAACAGCCAGACTCCAGGGGAAAACCATCTATCTCCCTTCTGGCTTCCCCATATGCTGAGAGCTACTTCTACTCAATAAAACCTTTCACTCATTCTTCAGCCTATGTGTGATTGGATTCTTCTGGTATACCAAGGCAAGAAATCCAGTGATACAGAGAGTCCTCTGTCCTTGTGACAGCTGGTTAACACAAGCCACCTATAGATAGCAAACTAAAGGAGTGTCCCGTAACACACACCACTGGGGCTTTGGGAGCTATAAGCATTCACCACTAGACACTGCCATGTATCGGAGCCTCACAGCCTGCGGTCTGTATGCTGCCCTAGAGGTGTAAGTAGCTGGGCACTGAAGAAGCAAGCCACACACCCCCATCGCACGTCCTGTGAAGGAGACAAGAAAACCTTTCCTGTTTCATTATGCATCTGAAAGGAGAGAGGAAATGATGCTGTCACTTTTCAAACTGTGGGAGCAACAGTGTTACTCCTTTTGGTTATAGTTTGTTATACTTTTCACTATCAAATTTTAAAAGTAACTTGATCACAGTCCGTGTCATAAATTTTGAATAATTTCATCATATGAATGACAAGCATGAAAAAGCTGGTTCACAGATAATCAAAAGCCGAAACTTCAGTGTTGCACAATGCTATATGCTGGGAAATCAAATTTCATCACCAAGGTATTCATCTGGGTTTTCCATTAGTAAAACGAACCTAACTGATATTAAAGCTGAGGTACCTTAAAAGTATTACACTCTACAGATCATCAAACTGAAAATTTATCAAAGAAATTAGATCAATAAAAGGAGACATTCAACATGATTCTGCATTACACAATTAAAATTAATTAGTTTAAATGAAACTCAATTTTTAAAATGCTCTGTGTCAATGAAAAATTGACAATGGAAAATTATATCCTTTTGCCATTTTTCCAGTTATTTAAAAATCTAGAATTTATCATAAGTGCATTCTATTAACTTGATCCTCTCATTCTGTTTTCAAAACATATAAGCTTAATACAATAGACTTACCTCAACCAAATACATAAATAAGTGTAGAAGCTCTTTTTTAAAAAAATTATATTAACCAGGATTAATGTAAACAAGTGTTAAGTTTTGATGTGAAATCAATAACTTGATCATATTATGTCTCTGGTGGTGGGAGGTAACTTATTTAGATAAGGTAGCACAGTAACTCTCCCATTTTTGTGGAGGGCAAAATATAGAGGTAAAAATGTAGCTAAAAATTAAACAAATTGGAATTTTTATTTTTAAATTTTAATCCTATTTATAATTTGTTGTTCTGTCTTCAGCATAGAAATGGGTCTTTCCCAAATTAAAAGAATGATTTTTTTTGTTTCTTATTGTCTACTGCTTTGGAAAATTTTTCTTAAACCTTATAAACACATAAAAATGTGTCTGATAATATGTCTCTACATCCTTCACTCTTCAAATGAATATGTCATGCCCTCATTGATTTTCACATATAAAGGATGCCCATAACCTTGTTCATTGAAAGAAAAATAGTAAAAACTTCAGAACTGCATCTGAGTGAAATTCAAATATTCAACAATTTTGAAACAGAGCCATTTTTTATTTAGTTTGGTTTTCTGTCTGTTTTCTTATCAGCAAGAAAACCTACCATTTAAAAAATTTTCACTATTCAGGGTAAGAAATAATGCATTTATTTTGAGAAAGCACATTGAAATTGAAATGCTTTTTATTATTTTCAAGGAACTGCAGTGAGGTCATAAAATATTAAGAACATGAAATAGAGTAATATTTGTTAATTCAGTAATAGTTCTTTGCTAAAAAGATAGGCAAGACCACTTGCCTAATAAAGAGAATAATATAGGTTAGTGTTAAGTCAGGATTTGTGAACGTACTAAGAGTTAACTCTATTTAGAAAATAAACTAGCTGGCTAAAATTATTTATATTAAAATATGGATATTACAAAAATATTTTTATATAAAAATGATTCTATATAAAAATATATACTATATATGGTATTTTTATAGTATATATAGTAGTATGTGTATATATACACACATAGTATGCCAGAAATATATATATATACAAATATATGTAATACGTGTATGTATATTACGTATATTATTTCTGTCAATATATATGTGTATATATATATATATATATATAATGGTATGAATACAATGTATGCATTTATAGAAGCAATATATATGTGTAAATAAAAATATATGTATATGTAATATACAAAATATACATATATATTATGCCAGTTATATACACACGCATATATGTATATATAACTGGCATAATATATGTATACATATGTATATAAGTATACATTATATAGTATATATACATATATTTTAGCATAATATATGTATACGTAATACATACACATATATAACTGAAATAATATATATGCAAGCTATGTATAATGGACAATATGTGTGTATTTCTAGCATAATGTATGTATACATAATACATACAAATATATAACTATCGTATTAATGTATATGCCAGCTATGTATAACTGACAATGTGTATGTGTGTGTGTGTATATATATAAAACTGGCATAATATACATATATTTTGTTTACATACCATTATGTATATACACACATAAATTATGTGTGTGGATATATTACTGACAAAACAAAAGGCTTTCAGGTCAGAGGGAAAAAGGCAGTTAATTACTTGTGATAAAAATGGCATCCAGATTACTGTCCCAGTCAACCTAGTGTTATTTGCTGAGTGCAAGATGGTACCTGTATATGAGCTATATTACAGGATAATAACCTAGAAATTAGAAATAATGCAACAGCTCTGATCATAAATGGGGTTTCTTGTCACCTGCCCATTTTCTTCTACAGAGAGAAAACTTTACTCTGAAATACAAGCAGATCCACTATGAGGAGTAGAACAAGGGGTCTTTGTCTTTACAAATTTGGATGATTTCTGGGGAGGGAGGCATCTCTAATATTTACTGTTCTGTAATGTCTTTTTACACAAACATTTCTACCTGGGTAACACAGACCTTTGCTCAGAGAACTCAAACTGAAGCAATGTAAGGCACTGCTGGAGAATCACCATCTCCCAAAAGCTGGTCTTGGGGTTTTCTAAGTTCTGCATCAGTGCGTCCTCTTCTCGGGTGATGTCTTTGCTTTGGTTGGCATCTGTTACGTGAAGTCTTAATGCCTGACTTGCAGATTAAATTCAACTCTGTGTTTGCTTCCCTTTCGAAGTGTAAGGCCCTGGAGAGTTTTCAGAGCAATGTTTTTTTCTTCATTCCGGTGTCACTCATTTTGTGTTTGGCTCTTTTATTAGAATTCCACACTTAGTAAAGACTGTCTCCCTTTCTAGGTCATCTAAGATTTTTTTAACTTTAATTCTCTCCTTTTAATTAAAGAGTGAGAAATACCAGGGATCCAAAGTAAATAATTACTTTATTCACCAGTTTCTAAAATTAGCACTCACTCAGTGTGTTTGTGGAGATATGTATATATATATATAGAGAGAGAGAGCCAGCCACTGAGTATACAGAGATAAATACATTATAGTTTCTGTCCTAAAGAGATTATAATCTAGTGTGAAAAGACAAACTTACGAAGTGATTGCAATGTGTTACAAGTATATGCTAGAAATCAATAGAGGTTGAATCAATTGAGGTGAATTCAATTTTAGTATATGAGACAGGAAGGCTTGAAAGAGCTGAGAAAATGAAGAAAAGGGTATTCCAGGTAAAAGAGCAATGTGACCCACAACGTGGAGGCAAAGGTAAATGTAGCAGGAGCAGAAATAATTCTGCCTGCAGGAAAATGAGATTTAAAGAGCAGTTAGAGAACAGATAGTAACACTTCTGTTAATTGACATAGGTGAGGTTATGAGGGCCTGATGTGCTGTAATAAGGAGGCTCTATTTTATTCTTGTGGACAATGGTTTTAAGCCTTATTTTTTCAGTAGGGAAATTCTTCAGTGGAAGTTGTCTTAGTTAAAATTTAAAACTATTGCTATAGGTAATAAGAGGCTTAAAGTGATAGTGATTGGGAATGCCTCAAAATAGCTCCACTTAATAAAGATTAAGAATGGAAAATGACTTGAAAAAAAAACGTCAGCGTGTATCAGGAAACACCTCACGAAGGGGCAAAAGTGGTTTCAATTCTAAGAGTGGACAGCGGGGATCTTCCAAGTCTGGAAAGTTGAAAGGAGATGACCTTCAGGCCATTAAGAAGGAACTGACCCAGATAAAACAAAAAGTGGATTCTCTCCTGGAAAACCTGGAAAAAATTGAAAAGGAACAGAGCAAACAAGCAGTAGAGATGAAGAATGATAAGTCAGAAGAGGAGCAGAGCAGCAGCTCCGTGAAGAAAGATGAGACTAATGTGAAGATGGAGTCTGAGGGGGGTGCAGATGACTCTGCTGAGGAGGGGACCTACTGGATGATGATGATAATGAAGATGGCGGGGTGGGGATGACCAGCTGGAGTTGATCAAGGATGATGAAAAAGAGGCTGAGGAAGGAGAAGATGACTCTTAAGCACATAGTGGGGTTTAGAAATCTTATCCCATTATTTCTTTACCTAGGCGCTTGTCTAAGATCAAATTTTTCACCAGACCCTCTCCCCTAGTATCTTCAGCACATGCTCACTGTTCTCCCCATCCTTGTCCTTCCCATGTTCATTAATTCATATTTCCCTGCGCCTAGTCCCATTTTCACTTCCTTTGACGCTCCTAGTTTTTGTTAAGTCTTACCCTGTAATTTTTGCTTTTAATTTGATACCTCTTTATGACTTAACAATAAAAAGGATGTATGGTTTTTATCAACTGTCTCCAAAATAATCTCTTGTTATGAAGGGAGTACAGTTCTTTTCATTCATACATATGTTCAGTAGTTGCTTCCCTAACTGCAAACGCAATCTCATTTAGTTGAGTAGCTCCTGAAAGCAGCTTTGAGTTAGAAGTATGTGTGTTACACCCCAACATTAGTGTGCTGTGTGGGGCAGTTCAACACGAATGTAACGATGTATCTTTGTGAATGAGAGTTGGCATGTCAAATGCATCCTCTAGAAAAATAGTGTTGTAGTCTTAAGATTTGTTTTCTTAAATTGATACTGTGGGTTATTTTTGTGAACAGCCTGATGTTTGGGACCCTTTTGCTTCAAAATAAACAAGTCCTTATTAAACCAGGGATTTGGAGAAAAAAAAAAGAAAAAGGATAAATACGGGGGGAGAATGAATTGCAGTGTATTAGGTAAGAAATGAGAGCCTGGATTAGGGCAATATTAGCAGGGATAGAAAATATAGATACAGTATGGTTAGGAAGCAAGGTGGCAGAATAGAAGCCTACACCCTTTGTGTCCCCCAATGACCTCATGAACATCAAATGTTAACAAAAAGATCCAAAATCATGTGAACACTCACAGAACCTGGTTTAAATATCATGCCACTGAAAGAGGCACTAGACGAGGACAGAAAAGACAGTTTTGAATCACCAATGCCACTCCTCCCGCATATCCTGGCAGCTGCCCTGCCATGTGAGAGTCTGGGCACTTGGCAGAGCCCTAGCCAGAGGGGAATCACCCCCCAGGCAGATGTAACTTGTGTTTTTTGGCAAGTCTTGCTGCAGCAGGCCAAAGTTCTCTCGGGTCCTAGGCAAACTTGAAAGGTAGCCTGGGACACCAGGACTCAATTTCCAGGCAACTCCTAGCGCTGGGGTGGTCTTGGAGCCTAGGCATGGCATGGGATCTAGGGAGATACTGACTAGGGTGGCTAAGGGAGTGCTTGTGCCATGACTTCCCCAACTCCAGGCTGCACAGTTCGCAGCAACTAAAGTGACTCCCTCCTTCTGCTTAAGGACAGGAGAGGGAAGAGAAGAGAGGACTTTGTCTTGCATCTTGGATATCAGCTCAGCCACAACAGGATAGGGCCATAGGCAGAGTCATGAGTCTCTCCTTCCAGGTCCTACCTCCCAGATAACATTTCTTGACATACTCTGGGATAAAAGGGAGCCCACTGCCTTGAAGGACTCAGTCCTGGCAGGATTCATCACCTACTGACTTAAGAGCCCTTTGACGCTGGAAACCCAGTGGCAATACCCAGGTAGTACTCTGTGGGCCTGGGACTCTGAGATATGCTGACTTGAGGAGTGATTAGCAAATTCATAGCTGTGGTGGATAAGGTAAAATGCTCTGAGAAAAGCAGAATAAAACATGAAGGGTTTTTTGTCTTGGTACCTTAGGTAACAGCTTGTCCACAGTACAGCAACAAACCGGGTCTTGGGTTCCCCAAGTTCAGGCCTAGGCTTATGGACAGCATTTCTGAACCTTCCCTGGGTCAGAGAGAAGCCCATTCTATTGAAGAGTGAGTCCCAGGCTTGGCAGTATTCACCACAAGCTAACTGAAGAGCCCTTGGGCTTTGAGTGAAGATCAGTGATGGCCTAGCAGAACCTTCCATGGGCTGGTGGTAGTGGTGGTAGTCACAGTGACAGGCTCCTCTGCCTACAGAAAGGGGAGGAAAGAGCAACAAGAACTCTGTGTTGTGGCTTCAATGCCAGCTTAGTCACAGTAGAATAAAACATCAGGTACATTTCTAAGGCTTTTCTTTTGATGGGGGTCTCAGTCTGTCACTGAGGTTGGAGTGCAGTGATACAATCTTGGCTTACTCTAACCTCTGCCTCCCAGGCTCAAGCAATCCTCCCCTCTCAGCCTCCTGAGTAGCTGAAACTACAGGCACGCACCACTGTGCCTGGCTAATTTTTTATATTTTTGGTAGAGAAGGGGGGTTTTACTATGTTGCCCAGGCTGGTCTTGAACACCTGAGCTCAAGGTCTGTAATCCCAGCACTTTGTGAGGCTAAGGCAAGTGGATCACACAGACCAGTGGCATAAGCCACTGAACCTGACAAATTTCTGAGGTTTTGACTCCAATCCCTGGCTCATAGACAGAATCTCTAGAACCACCTAGGGTCTGGGGGAACTTGCCACACTGAAGGAAAAGTTATAAACATGCCTGACTTTGCCACCTGTTAATCATGGAGTCCTAGGGCCTTGCGTTAACATACACGATAACCAGGTAGTGATTATTGTAGGCCTTGGGTGAGACCTAGTGCTGTAGTGGCTTTAGGTTTGATCCAGTGCAGTCTCAGGTGTGGTGGCCACAAGGGTGCTTGCATCGTCGTACATTCAGTTCCATGTGGCTTAGCACGAAGAGGGAGAGAGAGAGATGGTGTTTGTTTTGGGGAAAAACTAGTGAAAAGAACAAGTCTGCCTGGTAATCCAAAGAATTTTTCTGGATCTTATCCAAGTCCACCAATACAATACCTCTAACAGTCTGCAAAAACCACAGTATTATTGGGCTTGGGGCCCATATTGCTTTGAATACCTCGAAAGCCTTCTCAAGAAGGATAGGAACAAACAAATCCATTCTGCAAAGTCTGTAATAAGTACCCAACTCTTTAAATACCTAACTCTTTAACTCTAGATAAACATCTAGAAGCATCAAGATGATGCAGGAAAACATGACCTGGCCAAACTAAATAAAACACCAGTGACCAATCATGGAGAAACAGAGATATGTGACCTTCCAGAGATAGAATTCAAAATAGCCATGTTGAGGAGACTCAAAAAAATTCAAGATAACAGGAGAAATTTATAATTCTGCCAGATAAATTTAACAAAGAGATTGAAATAATTTAAAAGAATCAAGCAGAAATTTCAGAATTCAAAAAATGCAATTGATATACTCAAGAATTCATCAGAGTCTTTTAATAGCAGAATTGATCAAGCAGAAGAATTAGTGAGTCTAAGGACTGGCTGCTTGAAAATACACAGGGGAGACAAAAGAAAAAAGAATAAAAATAAATGAAGCCTTAATGGCATCTAGAATATAGCCTCAAACGTGCAAATCTAAGAGTTATTTGCCTTAAAGAGGAAGTGAAAGACAGGGATAAGGGTAGAAAGTTTATTCAAAGGGATAATAACAGAGAACTTCCAAAACCTAGAGAAATAAATCAACTCTCAAGTCTAAAAAGGCTGTAGAACACCAAGCAGATTTAACCCAAAGAAGACTACCTCCAGATATTTAATAAACCAACTTGAGAGGTCAAGGATAAAGGATCCTAAAAGCAACAAAAGAAAATAAATATATAACACACACTATGTCTGGCAGCAGACTTTTCAGTAGGAAACTTACAGGCCATGTGAGAGTGGCATGACACATTTAAAGTGCTGAAGGAAAAATACTTTTATGCTAGAATAGAACGAAGTAAAAAAATATCCTTCAACAATTGAGGAGAAATAAAAACCTTCACAGATGAACAAGAAACAATAATAAAAAAAGATGAAGTTCTAATAGCATCTAGAAGATAGCCTCAAAAGTGCAAATCTGAGCGTTATTGGCCTTAAAGAGGAAGTAAAGAAAGAGATAAGGGTAGAAAATTTATTTAAAAATGTAACAGAGAACTAACAGATGAACAAAAGATGAGAGATCTCATCAACACCAGACCTGTCCTACATGAAATGACAAAGGGAGTTCTTCAATATAAAAGGAAAGGATGCTAATGAGCAAGAATAAATCATCTAAAGGTGCAAAACTCACTGATAATAGTAAGCACACAGAAAACACATAGAATATTATAACATGGTTATTGCAGTGTGTAGACTGCTCTTAAATACAAAGACTAACATCTATATAATGAAAACTATATTAATGAAAGAAATTGAAGTGGACAAAATAAGTGGAGTGACATTCCATGTTCATCAGTCAGAAGGATCAACATTGTTAGAATGTTCATACTACCCAATGCCATTTACAGATTCAATGCAATCCTTAACAAAATGCCAATGACATTTTTTATGGAAATAGAAAAATAAATCGTGAAACCGAATGGAACCACAAAAGACCCAGAAGAGCCAAAAGTATCCTGAGCAAAAGGAACAAAACTGGTGGAATCATATTACCTGACTTCAAATTGTATTACACAGCTATAGTAACCAAAATGGCATTGTACTGGGATAAAAATGACACATAGACCTGAGGAATAAAATAGAGAACCCTGAAACAAATCCACATACCAATAGTACACTCATTTTTGACAGAGGTGCCAAGAATATACACCAGAGAAAAGAGAGCCTCTTTAATAAATGTTACTGGGAAAGCTGGATATCCAAATGCAGAAGAATGAAACTAGACCCCATCTCTAATCATATACAATAATAATATCAAAATGGATTAAAAATTTAAATCAGCTGGGTGTGGCAGCTCACACTCTTAATCCCAGCCCTTTAGGGGGCCAGGTGGACAGATCACCTGAGGTCAGGAATTCAGGACCAGCCTGACCAATATGGTGAAACCCTATCTCTACTAAAAATACAAAATTTAGCTGGGCATGGTGACAGGTCCCTGTAGTCCCAGCTACTTGGAGGCTGAGACAGGAGAATTGCTTTAACCTGGGAGGTGGAGGTTGCAGTGAGTCAAGATCCTGCCACTGCATTCCAGCCTAGGTGACAGATTGAGGCTCCATCTCAAAAA